TGGCAGACTGATACCCCTTCCCTAGAGTCCCCACTGCAGCAGAATCATCTGGGCGCCCTGTCGGAGGGCCTCTGTGTGCCAGGCTGCCTCACCTGGGCATCAAACGAATACTCTGTGACTTGCCTCTCCCTCCCACTTCTCAGAATCTGTCAGGAAAAGAATCCTTTGGGGGAAATGAATGTTTCTCAAACCATTAGGCCAGGACTTTTCAAATTGACTGCGTGAAGAATCACGTGGGAGAACATGTTAAAATGCGGACCCTGATTCAGGAGATCAGGGATGGGGCCCCCAGGTGAGGCTGGCCCTGTACTCCACTTTAAGCAGCAAGGTTGTAGTAGGTGTCAGAGTCTCCTGGGGTGCAGATTCATAGGCCCTTCCACCAGAGATTCTGATTCAGAGGGTCTAAGTGGAACCCGGACATCTATGTTTTGGGGGTTTTTTATATTCTTTTTTTTCATATTCTTTTCCATTATGGTTTATCATAGGATATTGAATATAGTTCCCTTTGCTATACAGTAGGACCTTGTTGCTTATCCATCCTATATACAATGGCTTACATCTCCTAACCTCCCACTCTGTCCCTCCCCTAACCCCCTCCCTCTTGACAACCACACGTCTGTTCTCTACAGGCATCTGTGTTTTCAACAACTTTCCCCAGGTAGCTCAGAGTTCACACTTAGAGAACCACCTCATTGCTGCCACCCTCATCTTTGTAAGACTAAGAAACACGTTCCCAGGGGCTGAGTCTACAATTCTGTTTGCACAGGAATGTCCTCTTTCTAGTTATAAGCTCTCCTCCTACAGGCAGATTGCCAAATGCAAATTTGTCTTTTCTCTTTCTGACTTACTTCACTTAGTATGATCATCTCTAGGTCCATCCATGTTGTTGCAGATGGCATTATTTCATTCTTTTTATGGCTGAGTAGTATTCCATTGTATATACGTACCACATCTTCTTTATCCATTAATAGACATTTAGGTTGCTTTCATATTTTGGCTATTGTGAATAGTGCTTCTATGAACATTGGGGTGCATATATCCTTTTGAATTAGCATTTTCTCCAGATATATGCCCAGGAGTGGGATGGCCAGATCATATGTTAGCTCTATTTTTAGTTTTTTAAGGAACCTCCATACTGTTCTCCATAGTGGCTGTTAACAATTTACATTCCCACCAACAGTGTAGGAAGGTTCCCTTTTCTCCCCATCATCCCCAGCATTTGTTATTTGTAGAGTTTTTAATGATGGCCATTCTGACCAATGTGAGGTGGTACCTCATCATAGTTTTGATTTGCATGTCTCTAATAATTAGGGATGTTGAGCATCTTTTCATGTGCCTATTGGCCATTTGTATTTCTTCTTTGGAGAAAAAATGACTAGGATAAATACAGCATTTAAATACCACAGTTTAGGAAATGTCACGTTTTTCTGAGTTTTTCTCCTTGATGGCATGTTTCCATGTGAATTTAAAAGGTGAGTGTTCACTGTTTTGCCCTCTGGTGTTTCTCTAAGTTCACCTCCACCCCAGCCCCATCACCCACTAACCCCATAATGGCATCCATCAAGCTCTTCAATAAGGACAGTGCACGAAACAATGTCCCGACAGATCTACCGGGATCAGGCTAATTCTACCCAGGAATAAAATGTCATTTTCTATTTTCATAATAGACTTTTGGAGAAACCTATCATATTACTCTCCTTCTTTATGAAAACCTATATTGCAAAGGATAAGCCTCTAAGCCAAAGCAGATCAATAAATATGCCACGTGATTCATCTCAATTCCAGTTTTCTCCAGTTCTAACTTCAAAATTGATATTCAACTCATTGCACATTATTTTTGTAAGAAACAATCAACATTTTACATTTTAGGTTATGATCCAATCTCCTAATCTCTTAAGAAATATGGATTCAGTGACCACATAGCCTAGATCTTCCAGGGTCAACCCGATTTCAAATGTTTTTCAGTTGTCATCTTTGGGTCCTGGTCTGAGGTTCACCGTTGTTTCTGACAATGCATTCTTATTTTTCCCCTTTAAAATAAGGAAATACAGTTTCCCCTCAGTCTGAAAATCTGCTATCTCACATTTTTTCTGGAATAGATTTGATTCAGCTAACCTGAATCCTTCCCAAATCTTCCCTCACTCCCAATTCTGCTTTTCCTTCTAATTCCCAAGGGCCTTCATCCATTTCTATCATGTCACATTTCTATCATTTACCTAGGGATTATTATGATAGTTGCTTGCTTTGCTATTGCACATACGTACATTTGTATGCCTCTATCTTGCCTAGACTGTGATCTCTTTGAAAACAGGGGCCCTGTGGCATTTCCTTTTTTTTTTTTTTTTTTTTTTTTAGCTTGCCTCTCCCTCTTTTTGCCTCTCCCGTTGCAGAGCACAGGCTCCGGACGCGCAGGCTCAGTGGCCATGGCTCACGGGTCTAGCCGCTCCACGGCATGTGGGATCTTCCCGGACCGGGGCACGTATCCGTGTCCCCTGCATTGGCAGGCGGACTCTCAACCACTGCGCCACCAGGGAAGCCCCTGGCATTTGCTTTTGTATCTATATGCCTAACACAATATATGTTCAATAATCGTATGTTTTAAGTTAACAAAAATAAGTAAATATGGTTTTGCTCATAGTTAAGTACAGAAGTGGGATTTCTGGGCACTACAGAGAAAGTTGGGTCTACATAAGATGGATCACCCAGGCAATGTGAGTGACTTGGCGTGGATGGGAAGTAGAAAGGGAATCGTGCTAATGGGGGGGTGAAAGGGAGCCAATGACAAATGTGACCTCCTTCCAATTTTGTCTAGAGTCATCTTGTCCACAGCAATCACAGAAAGCTCAATTTAACAGCAAGAAAGGAGGTCAAAGGCTGAGGGCAGACTTAGTGGAGTTAGAAGTTAAATAAATTCTGAAGTTGAAGAATGAAGAATAAATGCCCTGCTGCCACACTCCAGGAACGTCCTCAAGAAAAAGAAGTTCTATTAATTTAAAGAACCAGAAAAATGGTTCAAAAGAGAGATTGTTTCCCCCGCTCTATAAAAAGCTAACTGCCAGATGCTCTTGTCGGCCGATACTGTGAGATGTGATCGTGGAATACAGCTTTTTTCAGGGCAAGTGTTTTTCTGGGGCTTACACCAGGAAACTGGGGCCTTTAAATGGAATACTCAACAAATGAAATCAGGCAAAATTTCAAGGGTGCTCAAATAGACTCATTTCTATTTTTATCCTCTAGCAGAGGTTATCCAGAGAAAGAGGAAATTTCCTCTTCAGTGATGCTTGAATCTGAGGCCTCAAACTCCAGTCACTTCCTATAGCACCCACATCCGCTGACCCGAGTTCATCTTCTAGAAAGCAGGCAAAACTCACCCCCTAAAGTTAGATTTTTCCAGAATTCGAGAGAGGTCTACAGTTTGCGTATTTCTCGACTTATTTGAGAAATCCGGATGTTCCTTCCCCCAAGTTCCGAGTTTTGATCTGTGAATTTTATTTTTGCCTTGGTTGACAAAAGATAAGTACATCCTTTCTTGGCTTTCTGCACCCCCCAACTTCGTCACCAGAAGCAGATGGCTAGAATCATGTGATCAAACATTTTTTTAATGATTTTATTTTTGCAAAGTCAATATATCAATACATGAAAGCAGGCAGTCTGGTAGCCTAAAATAATAAGCATGACAAAAACTTCCTGTGTCTGAAGTGAAAACTTTGCTCTTGTGTATTCCCTCCACCTGTGAACCCTCAGCTGCTCCTTGCAGGCTGTAAAAGTTCCCCTTCCTTTGTTCACTCTGTTCAATAACTAGGGGCATAAATGTTTCAGATCCTGCTCTCATATAAACAACCAGCACTCCACACTGGCAGTTTGATGCATGCAGAATTATAGCTTGGGACTTTGTGACTCAACATGTAGCCACCACTATGTTCTCTTTTCCTTTAAAGGAACTCTGATCAGCTACTCCTGGTTATCCAAGTTCTTCTTGATACTGTTACCCACTCAGCTTAATTAAGTCCTTTGTTGATATAAATAAGGTTCTGGTTTAACTGAGCTCAGCAAAAGGAAAAGTGTATTTGTTCAAGTTCTTTAGTTGCAAACAAGAGAAATACAATTAGATGAGCTCAAGTTCACAAAGGAAGTTCACTTTGTTGTGAGATGGTGCAGAGTCTCAAAGGCCTGCAGGGAACAAGACACATGACCTCAGGAGAGAAAGGACTTGGCAATGACAAAACTAGGAGGACACATTCAGCAAAGGCTTCTTCTATGTTCTCTCCCCAAACCAGCTTCATCTGCTTTCCAGGACCTTAAGGTTCAGCCAAGAGACAGACTCACCTTTCAGTGTCAGCCCCAGAGGCCCAGGAGATTGTCAAGTTTAGAGCTTATATCCAACTCTGATCCAGGTGGCATAGCTAGAGATGGGTTTACACAGAATAATCATGGTGGCTGAAGAACGAACTATTAGGGTGAGAGTCGTTCCTGGGAAAATGGGGAGTTGCAGTCTCATTAGCTGATCAAACATCTCCAAAAGAGTCCACCAAAGAATAGCATATATATATATATGTGTGTGTGTGTGTGTGTGTGTGTGTGTGTATATATATATATACACCAAAATATTTAAACACTCTGTGACCCACAGAAGGTGTGCAATAGCAAGTTTGGCAATTGGGGTGGAAAATGAGGAACTTTTTAGGCCAGTGTTTCACATTCTGCAAGGGAATGGCCACACTTTCCAGCTTGTCACAGGGAAAATAACAGGGGTTTTGGACAACTTTCTAGTTCCTCTTGAACCTTTTTTCATAATGTGAATAGGTTTGCTATTTAGTTAGAAATGTTGTGATTTTCCACCATGTCAAACAAATCCCTATTTTAACATAAGTACCAAAATCCATTTAAAGCCTAACTGATATGACTTATGAAAGTGTGTTGTTAAATTTTTATTTCCTTCAAATTCCTAAGAACTGGTGCATGATCAGTGCGTCCCTGTAAATGTAGTAAAGGTCGTATTTTTAAGCTATTTCCCCCAGTAGTTCATTTCTTCCCTATGTTCTTTCCTCTCCAAACAGTTAGGCTGTTTTGAGCTCACTGCCTCCAGGCAGGGACACGCCCTGGTGGAGAGCTGAAACAGTGGTGTTTTCCTGGGTTGGGTTTCCAAAGTCCTAGGCCCTGTTTTGAAGGAGGAGAGGACAGATGGAGACCATCCTCAGCAGAGAGAGAGAAACTCCATGGTTGAGAACAGGGTTGAGTTGGGGGAACGTCACTGGGTAGACTAGGGTTTCTTCAAAGTTGGAAAATTCTTGATTGGCTGAAAGGGAGAAATCCAGGGACAAATTAAATATTTGGAAAAGAGCAAGTCCTCAAGACTGTGGCTTTGTACCCTTTTTCCTAGTCAGAGCCCCCAGTAGGCAGCAAACTTAAGATAGATTTGTAGGACCAAGGGATGGGTACCTGACCTCTGTTGCCCATGTGAATGGAGCTGCCTGGAGCTGTAGCAGCACAGTCTATAGAGACTGGGGAGAGTCATGTGCATCTAAGCAGGCAGAACTTTGGTCATTCCTGGCCCCACAAAGCCCACCATAGCACAGAAACAGCTGAACGATTCTCATGTAAAGCAAGCCACAGATGTGAGCTCCCAGTGGTCATTTGCAAGGATTGACTTCTGAGACAGAAGAATGATGAACACTTCAGCGGCTGTATGTGCAGAAAGATGCCTCGAAGACCAGATGCTCTCCAGATATGTTTTGATAATACATAAACCCCCAGGATTTAGATCCGATCGGGAAAAAGACACAGATGATTCTGAATTCAAGGAGGTCAAGTTTCAGCCACTCAGCTGAATGGGGGCTCCAAATAGAATTAAGTTGCATTAGAGGAAATAAAGTATACTTCAACGCTTGGATTTCTGAACTGAGATACAGATCCACTAAATAAATATATAGAAAAACAAGAAAACAGAAAAAGCAATTTCAGCAGACTTCCTAGAATGTCTTTCAATGCCATTCAGGATTATGGTAGATTGTCTTATTATCCAGCAAGTATCCACTTTCTCTTCCTCACCTCTGTGGAATTCCTTTGGCCCTGATGATGGGCATGGATAAGGGAATGTTGATAAACATGATGCAAATAGAGGCAGAGACATTTAAAAATACTAGTGCAGAGTTTGGCTTGATCTCTTGAGCTTTTGCCCTTCATCATGAAAAGAGCATGCCCCAGATAGCACTTATCCCAGAATGAGAAGATGCACAGAGAAAACCAGGATCAAAGCACAAAGCAGAGTCATCCCTGCTGACCCCCAATTCATGAATGAGAAATAAATGTTTGTTGTGGTAAGCCACTGAGATCTTTGGAATGTTTGTTATGCAGCTTATTATGCTAATAGCTGGCTAATACACATGAACAGCTGTAGCCTTAGGAGATTAGGAGATGCTCTGATGACACAACCAAATCTTAAGTGCTACTGTGCTCCGAAATAGATGTCCACTGATTCCTTCTCTAACATTCTGCCATTATGGCTATTAAGGTAGGTATCAATGATTTACTCTACCCAGTTTCCCCCTTTTTTGGGGAAATTTACCTTCTTTCTCTTAAAGGTCTGTTTTTTCTCTTGTGCAATGTCAACCATAGTACATAGCCCTCCTAGCCACACTGATTTGTCCAGTGATGGTTATGTGACCTAAGCAGGACCAATCAGAGCCTTTCCCTAAAACGTTTTAGTGTTACAGCTGTCATGTCCCCTCTCCCTGTATTCATGATGCCTGTTGACAAACAGAGAAAATAAAACACACAAGACACAAGGGAAACAAGCTTACAAGACAAAGACTGTAATTCCTGCTTGGGATCAATTCTTGCTTCTCATCCTACATAACCACATACCCAATCTTTTTTTTTTTGCGGTACACGGGCCTCTCACTGCTCTGGCCTCTCCCGTTGCAGAGCACAGGCTCCGGACACACAGGCTCAGCAGCCATGGCTCACGGGCCCAGCCGCTCCATGGCATGTGGGATCTTCCCGGACTGGGGCACAAACCCGTGTCCCCTGCATTGGCAGGTGGACTCTCAACCACTGCGCCACCAGGGAAACCCCACATACCCAATCTTCATGGCTATGTCAGCCAATAAATTTCCCTTTTTTGCCTAAGTAAGTTCAAGTTGGGTTTTTGTCCCTTGAAAACAAGGGACAAGAATCTTGACAAATAATTTTCTGCTTTTGCTTCCACTGCTGCAGCCATTGTCTAAGGACTCACTTCTCTTCCCATGACAGCGTCCACACTTAGAGGCATCTCTTTGTTGCCTCCCTGGTTCCGTGCTGCCCTCCTCTTGCTGTATGTCTGTGTGTGTCTCATCTTCCAACATCCTCAGAGAAGCCAGCCACAAAACAAGATAGATGCAGGCCACCTGGAAGATTGCTGAACTTTGGCCATCTCTGAACCTGGGCCCCTTCACTACTCCAGTAGGATGTGGCCTGGATGGCGGGGGCGCATGGCACAGAGAATGAGGTTTCATAGGTAAAATCCTCTGCAGAAAGGGACTGTGGGCTCTGAGGGTAACCAGAAAGGAACAGCACAACCAGCTGCTATCTTTTGTGGTCTGTCCTCTTGCTGCTTTTATTGGTTCACAGTATCGCTCCCTGTCTACTGTACAATGGAGGGTTAACTGGAAATGAAAGCAGAAACAGGTTTTCTATTTAGAGGTTAATATAGAATGGGGAGCTTTTGGGGAAATTAATTGGTTGCAAGTTTCAACAATGCAACTAAGAAGAAAACTTCATTTTAGTCTCCAACTCCTCCATTTTCTGAAGTCTTCCTGGTAACAAATTCTCCATCTGATAGTTCTCACTTTCAGTATTTTCTTCTAAATAAAAACTAAAAGGTTGGAGATCAGATCGTTCATTCATTTATTCAATTAACTAATTAATTAGTTAATTTAGTATTTTTTATCGAAGGATAGTTGATTTACAATGTTGTGTTAGTTTCAGGTATACAGCAAAGTGATTCAGTACCTATATATATACTCTTTTTCAGATTCTTTACCCTTATAGGTTATAACAAAATATTGAGTATAGTTCCCTGTGCTATGCAGTTAATTTAGTATTGAAGCACAATTCACTTTGGTTTTTTTTAACTGTTTCCAGTTAATTCCACCAAATTTTTTAGTGATTATTTAGCTAATCACATCTTTTTTCTCCAACTTTTTGTGTTGAAAAATGCCAAACTCACAGAAAAGTCTCAAGGGTAATCAAACACACACCTAGGTTCACTTTCCCTTAGGCTGACCAATTAACTTTATTCCAGTATTCCAATTCTTTTTTTTTTTTTTTTTTTGGCTGCACCATGCGGCTTGTGGGAGCCTATTCAATTTCTTTAATATTAGCTAGATGAAGAAATTGTCTGGTACCATCCTGGGTGTGACTCTTCACTGTTCTACTATATGATCAATGCTGGTGAGTAATTTATGGGAAAAAAGTCCTAAACAATATGCAGAAAACATTATTCATATCATTGAATAAGTGGGTGGATGACAAGTCAAAGAATAAAGGCCAGAATTTGGGGAGTTGCTGAGAGTTAAATAATGCACAAAATTCTTGTTTCATTATTGTTTTCTCCATTGAATTCTCTGCCATTTGTGTTTGGATTGGGCTCCTTCCAATAAGATTTAGAAAGGTCTGCAGCCAGTTCTAAATGCTAAGACTGAGCTGTGCATGCAGATACAGACCCTCAATGTGCATTTGGTGAAGCTGTGTCGTCTAAGGAACTGCGCAGAGATGTTGCAATCACTCCATGTATGTGCAACATGAGTGGAGGAATGTGAAAAACTGACAAGCTACCTGAGAAGAAATTCAGTTTGCCTTGAACACAACTGTATAAACTTATCACCCCCTAACAGTTCTCATCTGACGAAGACATTATATTTTTTTTAGCTTCTAGAGATGACTCAAAGGGAGCTGACAGCACTTACCTTTTATAAAAGGCAGAATTCAATTTGCTCTTTTGCAATAATTATATCCCTTCACTAGGGTAATGGCTACCATAAATAGCATGATCTTAGAATTGCCATTATTATCAAATATTTATCGAGTCTTTCTTCATTGCACACATAGACTGTAGAGATGTATAGAGTTGATTAGAAACAGCCGGTGTTCTCAATAGTTTATAATCTAAAGACAGAGATGATTCAGAAGAACATAAAAGACAATGATTCTCTTGTAGCTAAGAATGACCTGATCTCATCTTCTGTAGTTCTCCTCTCACTGTCCTTCTGAAGTCTCCTGTCCTAAATGCATTCACCCAAAAGTCAGTCCCTAAGACAAGATTTTGTGTACAAGTCGTTTATTTGGGAGGCGATCACAAGAAGCACAGAGAGAGTAGCGAAGTGAGACAGGAAAGGGAGGAAAACCAATAAAGGGTATGCTAATGAAGATGTTACTGACATGGGCAACAGGGTTTCAGTCCTGCTGGGGATACACTAGTGCCTGCATAGAGCACATCTCAGAATTGTCCCTTCTCCCAGATGGATAAAGGTATGTGGATATTTATCCTGCAGCTCCTGTCCCTATACACTTGAGGGTTGCTACTGGGGCATCCGCCTCACCCAGGCCCAGCACATCCCAAAGGCAGAGAGATACAGGCGAGAGGAAGCTTTGTGCAAGTAGAGGGATTCTCCACGGAAGCAGCAGGTGACATCTGGGGGTGGAGGGGTGACGGGGAGGTGAGTGGGCCATTCATAGCATCTGCCACATCTCCTTTTCCCATTTGGGTAAACGTTCTGGTCCAAAGCCATCATCAGAATATCTAGGATTCAAAACATTTTACCACTATTTAAAGGCACCATATACTTCTCTTGTACTACAAATTATGTTGTGTCTACTTGAGTCTTGAATAACCTATCCTGATTTTGAGTAACCTAGAAATTAGCACCCATATCTGGATTATTTTTTATCACAAGTGTGATACATTGGCATTATTTTTCTTGGCATTTTTTTTTTCTGATAGGGCAATGGGTACCTAAGAAAATAATTTTCCATTTTCTATAAGAAGACAATTATCTCAAAAGAATCAAAGTGACATCTGTGCTAACTGAAATAGGACATACTTCAATGTTACCAGACAAGTGCATATTATATTTCTGAGGTTATATCCATTCCAAAAGGGTCAATCAAATTCTATTTTAAGGGACTGAATTCAATAAAATCTAGTTTTAGAGGTTGTCTTCGTGACAGGGAATAGCCAGTTTGAAGGTTTCCCCCGAGTTTCTTTAAAAGACTGTGTGGGTGACCTAAGATATAGTGCATTTTTTTAAATAAGTAATT